GTTGCTGCACTATACTTTCCAACAACCGAGACATCAGAGACACATCAAGTTACAGGTATAAATCCTAGATTCAAAAAAAAGGATATGAAGGTCTCAGTAAGAGAATGGAGAGTGAGGAGAGTGGAGCATCTACAGCAGGCTGTGTTATCTGAAGAGAACAATTGCTGGCCTTTTGGACATTTTGCAACATTTGATGAAGCTGGAAACAAAACTGACTATATGGTGAATTGCTCAGCAAACAACACTGCCAGTGACATTGGTGGGAATTTGGTGCCAGTCACCACAAACCAAAGGAGAAATGCATCAGAAAGCATAAGACAGCAATGCCAATCACCAGGTGCAGCCACATCTGATCCCACCATAGGAAACCTTTGAAATTGCTGGGTAGGACAGGTTAATACTTTACAATAAACATTCCGTGCTTAAATTTATCCTTTTATAATTATGGATCTGTGATTTCTTAAGTTGGTTGAAAATTATGAATTTCAACTATATGCATTTTGCTGAACTTAATTTTTAAAAGGGTCTCAGAGGTGAAAATATTGAATTCAAAGCATAATTTCTTTACAACACTCCATAGATGACAACCACCATCCAAGTTGGTGTCTGTTATTTGACTTCACTTTTCTTTCTCCTCTTCATTCAGTTCAGCAACAACAGCCAACAAAATTCAAATTAGAAAAGTGATCCTCATTATCGGTTTACAGGCACATAACGTAAGAACGAGCCATAAGGAGGCTGAGGAAGAAGGGTCAGGAGTTCAAAGCCAGTCTTGGTTCCATACTGAGAGTCTGTGTCAATAAAACAAAAACCCACAATAGATGGCGAAGACAGTAACAAAACATGTAGCATGGAAGATGTTTGGCTTGGCTCCCAGTTACTGTGCTACTGACATGAGGCAAAAGAACCAAAAGGATAATGAGTGAGAGAAATGGGAGAGTCTAATCTGTGCAGAGATTTGAATGACAGTCTATAGAAAGACATGTCTGGGCTTTTTTATTTGATGGAACATCTAACAAATTGGATTTTGTCGTTCATTATTATATTACTAAAATAAGAACAAGCCCTGGAAAATGCAGTAAATTAGTTCAAAGACAGGAAGAGAGTAGAAAAATCACCAGATTTCCCTAGACTTAGATTTATGAATATTTTGTATTCCCTTTCCCATCCAGTATCTGTGGGTGCCTGTGTGTCACACATACACACATGGAGGGGAGAGAGAGAGAGAGGGAGAGAGAGAGAGAGAGAGAGAGAGAGAGAGAGAGAGAGAGAGAGAGACGCAGACATGGTGGCTCACATCTATAACATAGCACTAGGGAGGCTGAGGTAGGAAAAGCACTGAAAGTTCAAGGTCAGTCTGAGCTGCATACTGAGATTCCCTATCAGAAGAGAAAGAGGAGGAGAGTGATAAAGGGAGAGGGAGAGAGAAACATTATTTGGCACATACAAACTATAGTCTCCTTTTGAATGTATCTTACACTGTCTGAATATACAGATAACTTTTTAAATCACAACTGTGCTGTTCTAGGGGCTTCCTTCAATAGCAGCATTATATTTATACACTGTCCTCAGCTTGTCTGATGAGCATAAAAGTTGAAGTAAAACCTAACACCATGCCTGCTGCTGCCTGCTTTCCACATACCTGTCATCAGTGCAAGATCTGAAATCCATGTCCACTGGACCCAGGTGGAGGAGAATTCTGTTGATATTGATGCAATGTTTGGTAAAACCTGAGGAGTTACAATGACCACACAGAGACATTTAGTCTCTGTGGCACAGCAGGTGGGAGAACACCATCTCTCCCACAGAGGTCTTGGAATTTTTTTTCTTTTTTAAAATTGAATTGGATTTTTATATATTTGTCATATTTAGATGTACTTCCCTATCCATACCTCCCCTTACTACCCCTCATCCAATTTATACATAATAAGGTCTATAGAGTCTAGTTTGTGTCCCCAAATGAGTCAATCCATTGGGGCCTGACTAACCTACTAAGAGTCACACCTAGCTCCCTGGTATGCAAATAACCCTGATAACACTATATACAATGTCTTCTGTTTGCTTTCTGTAATTTAAAAGTAAATAATACATTTGGTTGTGTTCATGATTTCTCCAGTTCTCATAAAGATCGTTCCCAGTAAACAAAATTCTCCATTATTGACATGAGAAAGAGAAGCCTCCAATTAGCCTTGCCTTTAGAGTAGGACAGCCACCCCAAATTTACCTCATCTTCAGTTTCCTCCTTATCAATAATTCATAGTTAAGATCAGTCTTTTAAGAAGCCAGACATGGTGGTTCATGTCTGAAATCCTAGCATTGGGGAAGCCATCCTCAGTACCTAGTGAGTTCCAGACTAGCCAGGGCAACATACACACACATACTTGGCTCATCCTCACAATGTCCATCCCCAAGCACTACTCATTAGTCAAGTCTACACTATGTTCTCCAATCTCTTGAAAGTCCTTTGTATGAAGTAGAAAGTAATAAGCAATGAGAGAAATGATGGAATGACGATAAACTGATAACTTAGACACATGGTTGATAGATAAATGGTAGATTGATGATAGATGATAGATGATAGATGGTAGAGATAGTTATAGGTAGATGATAGATATAGATAGGTAGATAGATGATAGATAGATAGATAGAGATAAAGATTTATAATGGGATTTTGAATGAGGTATTATTTGAGAAACCACAGGTAAAGACTCTTAAGTGGGATGCTAGAGAGGGATTACAAGGGCGTATAAGGGAATTTTGAGGGAGAGAGGATCAGGTATAATTATGCTAAGTGATCAGCTTGAGGTAATTAGGCTCAGTGTGTGGAGCGGAATATCTTCAGGGTAGAGGGACTGAAAGGATGACTCAGGTGCACTTCTGTCAAAACTGGAGTTTTTATTTCTAGTACATTCTTTTTGATGTATAGTTCAGTCATTGAAGAGCTTCCATAGCCTAGTTTACTATGCTTTCCAGTGAATCCTTTTTTTTTTTCTGTTTTTCTTTGTTTGTTTTGGTTTAGATTTTTTTTTTGTTCTTTTTATTTGTTTGATAAAGTCTCACTATACAGGTCAGTTTGGTCCAAACTCAATCTCTTGCTTCAGTCTCCAAAATACTGGAATTACAGGTAGGTGCCACCACTCCTGATTTGTTGCTAACTTTTGAGGTTTGCAAATAAACTGTTCTGTTCCCTCTGCTTCATTTTGAATAGTTTTGACAATCCATGAATTTTGTCTTTGTCCCTGGTCTGTATGTACTGTTAAAAACTGGGGCCTTCACTAAAATCAACTAACAGTCATGCGTTGCTTAACTGAAAGGACATATAAGAAATGCCTCAGATGATTTTATCATTATGTGAGCACCACAAAGTGTACTTATAGGAACTAAGAGGGTTGCTACCAGGTGATATAATCCTACAGGACAACTGTTTTATATACTTTCCACCCTTGATCCAAATATCCTATGCAACACATGATTGTATATGTTTCCATCATACCTAAATCTTTCCTCTCACCATTTTGCATGCAATCCTTTTCCCATCTCCAACTCCAGGTTCTCACAATCACTACGTTGATTCCTTTTTCTATGGTTGGGTTCACTTCTGGAATTTCATATGAATTAAATTATTTTGTAGTTGGTTTCTTTTTTTTTTTTTTTTTTTGAGACGGGGTCTCCCTGTAGCCCCAGCTGTCCTGGAACTCACTGTAGAGGCAAATGACAGAGATCTGTCCACCTCAGCCTCCTCAGTGTTAGGATTAAAGGCATGTGCCACCACACCCGGCTTGTAAAAATTCTTTTAAACTAGCCAACCATGAAAGACTGAGAGGTTGGACTGAGACCTGTGGGGAAAAGACATAATACTCTTGAATTAGGAATAAAAACGTATGAAACTTTGGGCATGAGTGTGCTTTTTTGATCTGAATGACACAATGCACTTTTGTAAAAGTAAAAGCTGCCATGCTGAGTTACTTTCACCTTGTCTACATGTACTTTGTGCAGTATTGGTAGAGTCTTTGAACCTCAGATTTTATTTTTTTAATTTTGAGTAGCGTTTCTTTACATGAATATGTAGTCATGTACTTCATAATGGCACAAGTCATGTTCTCACACAATGATATCATCTAGTGATGTCAGTATACTCTAGTGTTCAAACAATGGTGAAATTGGCAAATGCATTCACAAGCAGTGGCGAATGGACCATCTTACTGTGTTATTTGTATTATTAGCTTCATAGCTCCTTCTCACCAAATATGACATTGCATCTTCTGAATTTGAAGAAAACTTAAACCCTGAGCAGTGGAGGCAGCTCACTGGTGAAGAATCTATAAAATGGAATGTATTTCTGGAGAACTTTGAGGATAACTCTATGGAGAAATCTCATCATTCATGATAAAAGAAAAGATATGAAAAAATTAATGAATATCATTCTTTGAAGCTGTTTAATATGTAGTCAATGGTAAATTTTTACATGTTGTCATTTATTTCAGATGTTTATATTAACAAAGTTTCATGGTTGCAAATCCCACAATTTTTAGAAGAAATTCAAAAGGCAGACAAGAATGTGTCACTACTATCTCTTAACATTGTTGTATTTATTTGATCCAACATCTTAGGAGCATAAAGAGATATAAGAATTTTAAGTATTGTCATTGTGAGCTAGAAAATTGCTTTTTTGGAAAAACACACACATATTCATTAAGATATTTAGGAACAATAATGTGCCAAAATTCATGTCAAAGAGATACTATTATGCAGATAATATTCGTGGGAACAAAATATGAAAACAGCTTGGAGTATTCTGAAACAAAATGATAAGAACATTTACTGTTGAAAAATACTAATTGCCAGGCCTGGTGGCCCACACTTTAATCCCAGCATTGGTAAGCAGAGGCAGGTGGATCTCTGTGTGTTCAAGGCTACATAGTAAGTTCTAGGCCAGCTGGGGCTACAGGGAGACTCTGTCTCAAAAAAGACTAAAAAAAAAAAAAAAAGGTAAAGTGCTTGTTGTGTTCCCTCAGAAGGGTCTCTTCTTCCCAAGCTAGTGGACCTGATGTAAGCAGTATTGGGACAAACTCCCTTCTTCCAAACTGTACTCCTTTGTATTTAGGAAGCAAAGGGAGGATGTAGGAGAGAAAAGCAAGGGAGTGAAAAGGCTCAGAGAGGACAGTTCCCTCCCTCCGCCTTGTGTTTTGCTGGGAGAGTTTGGAAATTCAATTTAGGAAATGAATGGCTCAAATGGAGTCTAAGTCTGAGGAGTCCCCTGAGAGAGATGAATTAGACTCACTATCCTCAGAATCCTCATCACCTTCATCTTCACCCGTTAGGCGGCAGTCTGAGGCATCGCTCCATTCATCCTCTTTCCCATCTTTCATCATATTCTTTCCTGATCCCTGGGAGACACCATAGTGAACCTGAGTAGTCTCTGAGGAATCTGTCCCAGGAGACAGCAGTCTTTGCTCCTTTCCAGGGCGTTCTTGCACTCCCTTGGCTGAGATCCTCAGATCTGTTCGTCTGATCTTGGGGCTTGGGCCTCCTGGTGTGGCCAAGTTCATTCGCTTGCTGCAGGTGGCCTCTGTCTCTCTATATGCAGCGTATTCTTCAGGTGTCAATCTCTTGAGCCAGAGGTCCAGGCTCACCCAGTACTGTTTCTGCAGTTCCTCAGCCTGATTCTTATAACGCTCCTTTACGCTCTGTGGAACCCGCTGCCAGCGTCTGCTAATCTCTACCATGCGCTCCCTCGGGGGCAAATGGTTCAGCTCCTTACTTGACCATGAATCTTGGTGAAATTTGTGATAGCCATTCATAGGCGGTTTCTTGGGTTTTCCCTTAAATGGCACCTTTTGGGGAAATTTACTTTCTGGAGGAGACTTCACATGTTTTTTATTTCCTTGTAATTTCTCAAGGACTTTGGTTTGGTGACTTCTAAGCACCACAGATTTCTTAGAATCTCCAACTAGATCTGGGTGGTCTTCCTTGAATTGAGCCAGTTTTTCCTCAAAGTCCTGTTTCTCCTTCTGGAAGTCCTGAATATATCTCTCCTTGATGTTCTGCGGGAGCTGCTTGTATTTTTCAGACAGGACTTTGGTCAGCTGCAGATTGTTGAGTTCAGGGTATATCTGGCTGTACTGGGCCCGCTGCTCCTTGTAGAAGCGCAGGTAGGCAGTCAGGGGCCTTTTGGGGAAGTCAGGGTGCTTCTTGTATTTTTCACTTTTGCTGAGATGTTTAACATGTTCCTTGGCGTCTAGCACTAATTCTGTCAGTGTGCGGACCTTCCTCAATTTATGAGAAATCTGCAACCACTTTTGCTTGCACATTTCTCCTGAAAAATGTTCAAAAGCTACTTTGTTCCAATTCAGATCTGCCAGGGTTCTTCTGAATCCTCGGAAGTCATTGGCTAGGACGTTATCCTCCATGCCTTGCAGTAACCGCAGAATGTCTCTTTTGGACCAGGGTCCTTGGCTGTGAAGTGATGCCATTCCCAGCATGAATCCAGTGCTGCTGGTTATATCTAAGTTGTGCAAAATACCTCAATGGCAGCTCAAACTTCTTCATACACACACATGTCAGCAGGTAATTTATTTCTGAATTTCTGTCATTTGTATGATCATGTATTTCTGAGGAAATAGAGAAAGAATGTTAATCTTCATCAGATACCACTTTTTTTTTCTTTTTCTTATCTTCGTGTTTTTTTTTTTTTTTTTTTTTTTTTTTTTGATAGGGTCTCCCTGTAGCCCCAGCTGATCTGGAACTCTATATGTAGACCAGGCAAGCCTCAAACTCACAGAGATATGCCTGCCTCTACCTCCCAAGTGCTGGGATTAAAGGCATGTGCCACCACACCTGGCATAATTAATTTACTCTTAACAGTGTAAATGATTTCCCCTTTTGATGTAAAAGTTGTTTGCCCTTTGTGTGCTACAACTGCAGTAGTCAAACTCTCATTTCAGTCTCCTTTTGCCAAATCTTAGCAAACTTTAGGGGTATGAGATGGGATGAAGGGTCTTAATATCATCAAAATACATTGTATGAAATTCTCAAAAGAATATAAAGCATATAAAAAATTAACAAATGAAATAAACACCAGGGCATTCACTGAAGAAGTTTAGATGACAAAAATGCCCAGGGGACAGAATAAAAAGACAATATGGAAAAAAAGGGCAATATGAAAAGTAAAAGACTAAAAGGGAAAGGACTTTCACTCTGCAGTGCCCTGGTGTGGCTGCAGTCCTGATGGAGCCCAAATGTTCATCAGTAAAGAACAGATGAGCTGGAAATAGGAGACAAGACACTAAACTCCCCAGACATGCATCCAACTGTGGCATTCTTCAGGACTCTATGCATGAAAGTGCTTTATGCTGAATCATCTTACATATATTTCAAACTGTAAGTACTCATCAGCATTACATCTACAATTTTGTTTGGCTACTCATTCTACATATTTAAGATTCACTAAAAGTACTGCCTCTTTCATATTTCTACAAAGTATTTGAAACTTAGAACTTGAACACATACAGTAAGAGATCTGATGGCTGTTATTCGATCTCCAATGCTGTCCTCTCTGGTGTAACTTCAGTACGTATTTCAACAGATCACTCCCAATATTCTAATAACTCAGTGATCTATTAAGAGAAAATGTACTCTAAGCCTCACATAAGCCAAATTGCACAAACATTCATAATATCTTAAATCAGTCAGATTTTGTCTAAAGAGAAGCTAAGGGACTTATAACATGGGACTTTCAGAATCAAAGTGCACTAAGAACAGAAAGGGGCCATCAAACTTAAAGACCAAGCAAAAGGAAAAAACCAAAGCCTGAGCTTCAGAATACTTGAGAATACCTATGAGAATTATTTTTAATTATAAAAATGTAAAGCAACAGAGTCATAACATTTAAAAATTCCCTGCAAGAAAGGTTGTTGTAAGTTCAAGACCAGCTGGGTCTACATAATAAACTGATCTTTAACTTTTTAAATTGAATCCATATCAACACTGCCAGGCACAGACTTGCTTTTGCCTCATTAACCCAGTAACACCCAGCAAATTGAAGGGTTTTCATTTTTTTTAAATTTTCCTAGTGCTGAGTATAGAGCACAATGCATACTAGGCAAGTGCTCCGCCAATGAGCTAAATCTCCAGCCCAGGGAGCCTGTTTAGTGTATAATGTCACAAAATGAGTGCATTTTAAAATAATACACTAAAATATTTGTTGAAAAAAATAAATAAAGCTAGCCAGGGGTGGTGGCACAACACCCTTAATTCTGGCACTCAGGAAGCAGAGGACAGGCAGATCTCTGAGATAAGAGGCTGGTCTCCATAGTAAGTTCTAGGCCACCTGGGGCTATAGGGAGACCCTGTCTCAAACAACAACAACAATAATAATGTTATATTTGAAATACAAGATTTTACATCCCCTTTTATTATGGAAGATTTTACACATGCAACATTTTGTGCATTCTATAATGTTAACTAAGTTTAGATCCCATGACAAAAATAGAACTACATAATATCTAGCATTTTCCCTCCATATATTGACAAGTTATATTCACAAGGAATGTAAAGTAAATAGAAAAAACACACAATTTTAAAACAATGATAGATTAAAACTGTGTAGCTCAACAGTAAACAGAAAATAATGGCACGATTTTTATTATCAAAGTTTACTACATTTATTTGGGAAGTCTTGAAATCATAGAAAAAAGTGTGAGTTCATGACTAAGGATTCTACTCACCTTCAGATTCTCTGGGCTCATCAGTGCTTGCAGAAAAGCCCCATTATTACTTCAGTAATAATGAGTCCTCCTGGGGCTCTCTGGACAACAGTTGTTGCTCTCAGAGGTGAGTACAGTGTAACCACTTCAAAGAGCCTCTCAATAAAGATCATTTTGGAGTTCTGAAGCCTTTATATTAGGACCTTCAAAGCCCCACCCTAACTAGGCTTCCTCTGGAAGACCTATTAGCAGGAGACAGTCAACTTTTTAATCTCTTAATCTCTTCACTAGCTGACAGACACTCCCTGAGTGCTGGTTTATCCTTCCTTGGTATTTTCTTGTTGTCAGAGATGAGGCAAGGCTTATCACAGACCCTCCCGTTGCTGAGGAGTTAATCAATTCAAGGTAGCTTATATACATATATCAAAATGTCACAATGAAACTCAATCTTTTTTTAATAATTAATATATACTAATTTAAAAAATTATGACTGTTACTTATTTGGTTGTATTTTGGGACTTAAGATAAATAGCTTGGAACAAAGTTGATCTTTAAGAAGGTCAGAGAACATTGATTGAATCAGTTGTATTTATCACATGTCATTGGACCCACCATGACCCTCTTACTTCTTGTTTCTTATCTTGATCTTTTCAACCATTTTCCATGTAGAAATGAGAGTCTGTTATAACTTCATCATTTTGATCATCTGAAAACATCTTTCAATCATTTGCTGATAGATTGGTCATTTGGCTCTGAGACAAAAAGGACATTTTGCATGATAGGTAAGATTTACTGAAAAGGCCAGCCTTTCTCAGGGTAGTCTGTAATTTAAGCACAGAATTAACACTGAATCTCAACTAATGGTAATGTCATTTAAGGAAATGGGGAAATGATTGTTATGACGACTTGGATAATAGGGATTATCTTTCTCTCTCTTTTTTTTAAATTTTATGTGTATGAGTGTTTTGCCTGCATGTATGTAAGTGTACCCGTGTCGTGCAATGCGGCCGAAGTCAGAAGAGGGCTTCAGATTCCCCTGTAACTGTGGTTAAGGACGGTTTGTAACTGCCATGTGGGTGCTGGGAATCGAACCTGGGTCCTCTGCAAGAGCAGTCAGTGCCTTTAACCACTGAACCATATCTCCAGTCCCAGGGATTATATTTCTATTAAATGAAGTAGAATGTTCTTGGTCAGTCTAGCTGGTCATGAAGAGGACTTGGATTCAGTTCTTAGTACCCACATGGTGGCTAACAACCATCCATAACTCCAGTTCTAGGAGATCTGACATCCTCTTCTGACCTCCAAGGGCATTGCACCACACAAGCGTACTTACACACATGCAGGCAATACACTCATACACATAAAAATAATAAGAATATTTTTTAAAAGGTATTTTAACTCATTGGCATAAAAGTTTGGATTAATTTTAGATTATCCAATAAATGTTTTCAATTACAAAATTATTGAGTACTCTTTCCTTGTGCTTTGCTTTTTTGGGATCCCTGGAAAATACTGTAAAAGAAGGCCAAGGGTTTTTTGTTTGTTTGTTTTTGTGTTTTTTTTTGCCATTTACCATTTAACACCTAAAGACAGGCAGACTGATGATACCATCACCAGAAAAGCATGACACCACAAGGCCTCCATTGAGTTTGTCTGCTTCTTTGTGATGCTAGTGGATGTGGTTGCCTAGTCTACATGTGTTGGTTTTATTTGTATTTCCTTGAGGAAGTTTTCCTATGAGGGAGGTGAAGTTCAAAACTAGATCATGTGGGTTTTGGTGACCACTATTACAAGTCTGAATTTTGTTTTTGAGATTAAAGGAGGTTTTGGAGGATGTAAAGATTAGACCCCAATCTATTCTGATTGTTGCTTTAGAGAGAACATTGCATTAAGTCAAAAATGGACTATTTAAGAAAAGAGTAGGTAGAGGAATGCTGGTGAAGGTGGTAAACAACTATGTTTTTCTTTTAAAGGTTTTAAAAAAGTTATTATTTGTTATTTTTATTTTACGTGTATGCGTGTATTGCCTGCATTTAGGTAAGTGCACCCGTGTTGTGCAATGTCCGCGGAGGATAAACCCTATGTTTTGATTGCAGAACCACTGCCACCTTCTGGAGGTTTGGCTATGAGATGTCAAAGAAAATGGGGAGCAAAGGGCAAAATATGAGGTGAACCAAAAACCTACAAGGCAGGTTTCCTACCACTGGAAGGAAAGGGTAGGAAAGGATCTTGGTGCTCAGTTGGTAGAAAGGATAAAAACAGGAAGCAAAGAGTACAATAAAAGGGAAGCACCTTGGCCAGGCATGGTGGTGCACACCTTTAATCCCAGCACTTGGGAGGCAGAGGCAGGCAGATTTCTGTGCGTTCAAGGCCAGCCTGGTCTACATAGTGAGTTCCAGGCCAGCTGGGGCTACAGGGAGACCCTGTCTTCAAAAGGAATCCCCCCCACCAAAGGGGAAGCACCTGGTAATAGAATGCAAGGAGAACAAAGTGGCAAACCCAGGCTGCCTTTCCCTTTTGACTTCTGTTAGAGAAGCAGCAGGAGGAGGAAATGGCCAGTCAGCTAGTTTTCAGAAGTGGTATCATCAAATGAAAATAGATACCAGAAGAAAAAAGAAATGGAGGGATTGAGTCACAAATGATGCTGAAGGAAAACAGGGCCTGTAGCTGTAAATGAAGTTGAGAATGAGATTTGAAGAAAGACACTAGGATGCCCTGATATTGGCAAAGCAGACGAATGTATATGTTAATGACAAGGGAGGAGTGATGCTGAGCAGGAAAATCTGGCTTAAAGTTTGGAATTATGTAATTTACCAGTATGTAATTTCCAACTAGAAAGTCTGTGTGACAGGAGCCATGAGGCTGTGTCCTCCATCTACATGCCAACTAGGTGGCTGTTTCCTAATTTCTACTTTTATTGTTGAGTAGGGTAATTGTGACATCAGAAGAAGATCATGCAATCATGGTTTCTGCTTTTATTTAAAATTTTTACTTTTTGCTAATCTTGTCTATTTTTATCTCACTTCTCAACTGTCCCACAGGTTTTTGTATATTGATAAGTATACTAATGCTATAACATCTTATTTTATATTTGTAATGTTAATTGGACCTGGAATCTTAATTGGGCTGAACTAGAATGCCTCTCCACGAATCAGTAATTATGAGAGCAAGCATTCACTTTTTAGAAAATGAGCATTGCTGTCCAGATGAGCACACCATGTGGCCTATGGTCATTTCTGTAGTAGTATCACCTTTGGACATCATTAATGGCTTAATGTTTATATATAGAGTACATCTAGGATACATCTTCAAATAAAGCATGGAATTTTTTATATAGCTGCTGGTGAGAATACGGATGTGAAAAATATCTAGTCACTTTATCATCAAACTGGACATTGTTCTTTATTAGCACTTAATTATTATAATGTTTATTAAGGAATATATATATATATATACATACACATTACTTTGTTTGTACATATGCCACATTGGTCTCATTTGTTTGTTTTTCTTTTGTTTTTAAAGTTGGGTCTCTAAGAGCAATTCAATTTGATGAATGGGTTAATGGAAATTTTCTCAATTTAGAGGCTCACTGGATAATAAGTAGATCAAATAGTTCAATTGGTAGATTGGTCTTTTGTTACATGTGCTTTTTGTAAGATGCAAATATGTGCCAAGATGCTAATAATTAGTATTATTAACAGCAGCAGTCTTCTATGATAAGCTTAATGACTAAAAAATTCTGAATGCTTATAGATTCCATATTAATAAAAGGCCAAAGACTTTGGAAACAGCTAATTGGACTTTTTATAATGGATTTTCAAGACTCAGATTGCAGATGCCGCCTAATAGGGCAGCGGCAACATTCATATTGGAGGTAATACTGCTTTTATCTGGAATTTTCTATATTAAATAATTTATTCAGTACTTGCTTTGTCACTCCATCATAGGAGGCCTTGTAAAAGTAAAGGTCATATCATCATAATTTTATATAATATGTGCCATGTTAGAGAGCCTCAATAAATGTTGGTTGAATTAATAATCTAGCTTTAATTTTAGAAGATTAATCAAATTGGCAAACTGGTAAATAATACATTGATTTATTGATTTCTCCTATTAGTCAAACTTTAGGTAGCTTGCAAAATTGAGATAGGAGCAGTAAAAATTAAATTAAAAATAAAATTGAGACAGAGTCTCCTTGTACAGCTCCAGGTTGTACAAAGATCCTCCTGCCTCTGCCTCCAGAGTCCTGGGATTAAAGACATGTGCCACTATGCCCAGCATAAATTTTGAAAATAATTTATAACCTTTATCGTTAGTTTCAATCTCCCCCAAAAATCTTACAAAGAGAATTTTGATGTATCTTTTGATGATGCCAAGAGTCTAGAAATTAACAAATTGTACAATCAATTCTTGAAATGTTTATGTATAAAACAAACAGCATTTGATAGTTTGTACATGGAGGTATTCTTGTCCTATATGTTAGACACTAGTTATTTAAAACAGTATATTGGGGCTGGAGAGATGGCTCAGTGGTTATGAACACTCATTGCTTCTGCAAAGGACCTGGATTCATTTCCCAGTACCCACAAGGCTATTAACAGCTGTCTTCTTCTTTTTTTTTTTCGGCATTTTTGAGACCAGGTCTCCCTGTAGCCCCAGCTGGCCTGGAACTCGCTATGTAGACCAGGCTGGCCTTGAACTCACAGACATCTGCCTGCCTCTGCCTCCCAAGTGCTGGGATTAAAGGTGTGTGCTACCACACCTGGCTTAACAGCTGTCTTTAATAATTCCAGTACTGGGGGATCAGACACTCTCCTGACCTCCACAGGCATTGCACAACATGGGTGTACTTATATGCATGCAGGCAAAAACACTCAGGCTCATGAAATAAAAATAAGTAAATAAATAAACAACAACAACAACAAAACCCCTACGTTCTACCCATGCGTGGTAGCATACACCTTTAATCCCAGCATTTGGGAGGCAGAAGCAGGTGAATCCCTGTGAGATCAAGGCTAGTCTGATTTACATAGTGAATCCAGGCCAGCTGTGGGTACAGGGAGACCCTGTTTCAAAACTCAAAACAAAGCAAACAAGAACCCTATATTCTTTAATTGCATAACAGATAAAATAATTTTGCCTACTCTGTGGGAGTGCTTCTTAAGCTGTTTGATGAATGTAGCTACTTTACTGGCTGTTGTACCTTTTGAATAATTTCATTCTTTTTTTAAAAATTATGTATATGAGTTGTATTTATTTCCTGCATGTAGGTAAGTCCACCTGTGTTGTGCAGTGACTGAGGAGGTTTAGAAGAGGGTGTCAGTCTCCTGGAACTGGAGTTACCCATAGTTGTGGATGCCATGTGGGTTCTGGGAATTGAACCTGGGTCTTCTGCAAAAGCAACCAGTGCTCTTAACTGCTGAGTCATCGCTCTAGCCCCTAGTAATTTCATCCTTATTTCTTATGTATACTGCTGAGTATCTACAGGTGGGGGATTAATTTGGTTATGAAAATATCTTTGGAAAAGTGTCCATCTCTAAAATTGAGAATGCCAGAGACACTGGTTGAGGAATGTCCAAAGGGTCAGTACTGAAGGAACTGAAGTCACTAGGGGTTTTAACAGTCTACAAACATTTAAAAATCATTTCTTGGGCTAGAGATATGACTCAGTTGGTAGAGTGCACAGTTAACACTCAAGAAAACCTGGGTTCAGTTCCCAGCACTGCATAAACAGTGCATGGTGGTACACTCCTCAGGGGGTCAAGGTAGCCTTTGACTACAAACCAAGTTCAAGGCCAATCTATGAGAACCTGTTTCAAAATAAATCGATTATTTCACTAAAGGTATTTACTTCAAAGGTAGCTTTCAAGGATTCTACAAAAGTTCCAAGGGAAAAGCCATTAGGTGTAGCACCCAACAATGATACCCATGAAATACTCAGTGGAAAGTTCCAGCAACTTGTTGGAAGGAAGGAGTCTTACTTGAGACCGTTAGGACTGCACATACTGTGAAGGCTTGGCATAACCCAGAGGTGCCTTCATCTTAAAAATAAAAAAAAATGCATGCATTCAGGAATTTTGATTCGACTACAAATATGTTTCTGGTTAGGGGTGAAAAGTAATTATAAATTGTGAGAGTTTTCCTCTTAGGTGAAATGGATACAGGAATTCTATTAGCAATAATACTTTTAAAGAGAAATGCATTATAAGTTCAACAGAAGGACGAGGACAGGAATGACATTTAAGACTTTACTGCTAATAATAGCGCAAAGCCCTTTCAATGGTGAATTTTATTAATTTGAATCTATAATATTCCAGTGACAATGATAAAACTTGGAGCCCTGCCCAGGTAATGTGTTGGGGGGAGGGGCATAAAGTCTCAAGTCCCTGGGACTTGGTGTTGATAGGCTGCACCTGACACACTATTCTTTAGGGGTGACCAGGTGGCAATTGGGACAGAGAATCTGGAAGCAGAGTGAGGAGCTCTTCAGTGTGCTTTGCAGTTGAAATTCCTTAATTTTTACAATACAGCTGAGAAAGGGCTGCAGTTGGTCTTCGGGAAACAATCAGGCCTCTTTGTAGCAGCTGCCGTCTGCTGCCTGGCCCTGGGCCAGCAGGGCAGGCCAGAAGACGCCAGCTCCCAGAAGGGCTTTCAGTCTTCTCCCCTCAGTTTGCCTACAGCTCCGGACTTCAGGGAGCCTGCGAAGTTCCTGTGCTCATCCTCCTTCTCCATCTGCAGCCCCGAGGCCTGTGGCTGCAGCCTCCGACGCCACCGGACCCAGGACAGCATGGCAAGGCCCAGGCACCTCAGGGGCTTGGGCATGTGTGTGGCAGCAGCACTTCTGGCATCCTTCCTAGCGGGTTTCATCATGGGTAAGTGTGAAAGGGCAGGCTTGCTTGCTGCCCGGGCCTGCTTGCCCCTTGGGCCTGCTTGCCGCCCAGGTCTGTTTGCCACTGGGGCCTACTTGCCGCCCAGGAGAGAGAGGGGAAGTCCACTGGCTGTGCTTCTACAGCAAAACCAGAGACCAAATGCATTTGTGGCCAAAATTCAAATTTATTAAATATCCATTGAATATAGACTACTGCCAGTGGCTGCTGAAAAGACAACTTAGAGCGGTCACTATTTAAGAGGATAAAAAAAGATGATTAAAATTCCAAATAATATTGAGTTGAAACTGTTTTACATGGATATTTTTTGAGACATTCCTTTTGGTCAGGGACTGCTTTAAATAGATTCTAGGGGTGAACCAAAAAGAATGCATAGATCATGTGAGACATGAATGTGCACTTCTTGTAAAACTTGTGCTAACCAACTGAAAGTCATATTATGCATGAACACTTAAAGGTTTTCTACCTTTAGTATATATTTTTTTAAAGCTCACAATAATTTATTTGTTAGGTATTGGCCTGATTTTTTTGCTGTCTAATTTAATAGAAGCAATCATGTGTACATGTATCTGTATGTCAATATGCATTTGTGTATCTCTGTGGTATGTGTGTGTGTGTGTGTGTGTGTGTGTGTGTGTGTGTCTGCAATTTTTCCCCCAGGCTGGTTTATTAAGCCTTTCAAAGAAAAAACCACTTCAGCTCGCTATCATCAAAGTATGCAGTGGAAACTCTTATCTGAAATGAAAGCTGAAAACATTAGATCATTTCTTCGGTAAGTTTGTTTTGCATTTTTAGCCTAAAAATAATGTTTATTGCATAAAGAAATGTATTAAAACTTGAATAATCCTTATTTACTTATTAATATTTTTGAGACAGAGCTCCTTGTAGCCCCAGCTGGTCTAGAACTCACTATGTAGATTAGGCTTGCCTGGGTTTTACAGAAATATATGTCTCTCCCTCTGGAGTGCTGGGACAGTACCAAGCCTGACAATTATTTTTTAAATGTGAAATAATATATTATTCAATGTGAAAGTGCTGGTATTAATCTTTTAATGAAAATTTGTCTTTACAGTCAAATTTACCTCTAGTGGTCCTGAAAACTAATTTATAAAAATATATATATATTGTTCTCTGCTGATGTAAGTAGGAAAGCTGAGAAACTTTTAACATATTACTCACCTAAAGCAAAATAATTCTCACTAATAACTATATCTGTGAGATTATTTAAATGCTGCATTTCATTTACATAGATAATCAAGAGAACATTACTCAAAGTATTTCATCTGACCTGTGCATCTTAGGTCACAGTTAAGTTTAGCATTAGAGAATGTGAAAATGCACAGACCTTAATCTCAATGAAATAGACTCACCACTACATATGTGTCAGAACTGATGGGAGTATCCAAACACATGCAGACCTGCCTGACTGATCCCTAACAAACATTAAGACTTCTTTCCTCAGAAAGCTCTCTGCTACTCATAAGCAGCAGGGTTCATCATTGCTACAGAGGTGTGTCATTCTTCAGGGAATCCTCTCTATCTGGTCTTCTGCTGTTAAAATTACCATAGAACACATTCTTTCCTGAAAGGGGATAATATAAAAATTGCAGTGGCACATAATTAGTTTAAATTGGCATATGTAGAAATTAGTATTATCTAACTGGAATTTTTATTTCTGATATGTGATTGATACTTTACTGCTTAAAAGATGAGCAATGTATCTAAAAATTCTCAGGAACATCATTTGGATGTACTCTTTTAATTCCCATGTTTATTCTTCTTATTTTAGTTCCTTTACAAAACTTCCCCATCTGGCAGGAACAGAACAAAATTTATTGCTTGCCAAGAAAATCCAAACACAGTGGAAGAAATTTGGACTAGATTCATCTAACTTGGTTTATTATGATGTTCTCTTATCTTACCCAAATGAGACAAATGCAAACTATGTATCAGTTGTGGATCAACATGGAGTTGAGGTGATTTAGAATTATTGGGATTTTTCATATTTTGTTTTTTATTCATTTTAATTTATTTTTATTTGTGTATGAGTGTTTTTCCTGCATGTATATAAGTACACTCATGTTGTGCAATGCCTGTGAGGCCAGAAGAGGAAGTTGGATCCCCTGTAATGAGTTACAGAAGGCTGTTAGCTTTCATGAGGGTGCTGGGATTCAATCCAGGTCTTCTGCAAGAGCAGCTAGTGCTCTTAACCATGGAGGCATCTCTCCAGCCCCCTTTTCATATTTTGTAATCTCTGTCTTTTTGTTGGTTTGTTTTTGAGACAGGTTGTCACTTTGTAGCTCTAACTGACCTGGAACTTGCTATGTAAACCAGATTGGTCTCAAACTTGTGGCAGTCCTCTTACCTTGTTCTCCTGAGTACTGGGTTTACAGACATGTCCCATCATGCCCAGCTCATCCCTTGCATTTTGTTTCTTTATGGATTGGAATGTAGAGTTAAGTAATAATGGAAATTTGTGTGCATACAACTTACATATTTAAGAAAAGTTAATACATTGAAAACTCTTCAGTTTCCATTTGTGCTAGGCTTGCTACTAGGTCCTCTGGCAAGAATAAAGGTTCAGACATAGTTCCTTTGCTTAAGTTAGGGGAGGCAGAAAGAGGGATATATCATTTAAAATCAGTAGGATATGTTCTATGAATAGGGAATTAACACTTTTATCTATACAAGAACTGGTCATTCAGCATGGACTAGCAGTTAGAGGACTCTTCCTGAAAGAGTGTATATCAGGAAAGTGAATAAGGTCTAATCACATGAAAAAACAAAGCAAGAGAGCTCTAGGCAGAGGAAAACACTGGAAAGGTTTTAAGGCATATAATAGCTCAATATTATTTGTTTAATCTAAAGATTTTATGCATTTCAAGAATGTGAAAAGCAAACTGGGCCATAGAAAGGGATAAAATAAGAGATAGACTCTGGAGATAGAGCACAGAAAGGCTTCCATTCTATTTTATGGAGGTCAGACTTCAACTTCAGTGCATGAGTCCCTCTGACACATCTTAGGTAAGGGAAGTATGTGACTGCGAAGGTATTTTTGGCAGACTGGGCACTCTATGCATGGTCTAGGAAAGGAATTAAAATTACAACCTAAAGCCAAATTTGAAGGCAAAGATGAAGCCCTGAATTAGGGCATTAGAATCAAGACAAGAATGAAGTTTAAAAATAGTTAGGATGTTAGTGACATATGATTTATGACTGAAGCAATGAAGAGGGATGTGTTCAAGATGACTCCCCACTCTAGACTGCCTGGTATAGGTGGCTTAGTGAGGCTCTTCACAGGTAGGAGATGCAGAACAAGAAGCAAGTTTGGGGTGGTAGAAGATAAAAGCAGTTTTTAACATGCTAAGTTTGAATATCAAAGCTAAATAACCACAAGGCTCTTAAATATATATGAAAAGCTGAGTACCAGGAGCATATTAGCTGTTAGCCCAATTTTGATAGTAAGTGAAATCTCACAAGGAGGGAATATAAAATTAGGAAAGAACTGGTACAGGATAGAATATGGGAAGCATTTAAATGAAGGTGAAAGAAAAGGGTCCTGCAAGAGAAGTTGAAAAGGCAAAAGAAGGAATCACAAAAGTACTACCTTAGCAGGGCTGGAGAGATGGCTCAGCGGTTAAGAACACTGATAGTTCTTGCAGAAGACCCGGGTTCAAATTCCAGCACCCACATGAGAGCTAACAACTGTCCATAACTCCAGTTCCAGGGGATCCGGCAGCCTCTTCTGTCCTCCGTGGGCATTGCATGATACTTACATGCAGTCATAACACTCATACACATAAAATAAAAATAATAAATAAATTTTTTAAAAAAGCACTACCTTTGCTAGTATCTCTGTTTGTTTTACTTGCTTTTAACAGTGCTGGGGATGGAATCTAGCATGCTAGACAAGCACCATACTACTGAGCTGCAGTCTCAGTTTTAGAATGTCAAATTTGAAAATCTGTTTCTACACTTTACAAGAGAACATTTAATTACCTAGGATGGTATACATTAATAAAAATTTATATTATTTTGAAGACAATATAAAACTTACTTGTTGCCAGTGGAATTTATCTTTTTAATTATAAAACCTTCTTTGAGGATGTGCAATCTTAAGTAAAACTCAGGAGATAAGATGGACCATACCTTAATAATGATTTGGAATTATTTCTGTAACTTGACATGTTTGAATTCTTGCTAGATTTTTAAAACATCATACCTTGAACCACCGCCAGATGGATATGACAATGTTACAAATATCGTGCCACCATACAATGCTTTCTCAGCCCACGGCATGCCAGAGGTAAAACTAGACACATTTTTTAAAAATTTGAGTCTTTACACCTTTCTTTGTTATGTGAAATCCTGTATAGAGCAATAAAACTAAGAGAAATTCACATAATACCATACATTTTCATTAATCATTTGATGATCAGTACTATGAACAGTCTCAAAAATTAAAATGATTTTTAATAATAGAAAAGGCCACAATGAAAAAAGAAATTAAAATAAATAAATTCTTTGTAAGGAGATCCTAATTAAGCAGATGCCTCTGCAAAACAGCAAAGAAATGTCTGCACATGCTTTCAATTCAGTGAGGGCAACGGATACTTTCATAAACTTTTCCCATTGTTTATAATGTGATTTTTAGAGTACATTTATAGATCTGTTTTTCTAGTTCATACCACAGATGTGCTAAACCAATGCTGTTGTTGGAAATTAAGCATGGCTTAGATTGTTAAAATAACATTTACTCTGGTTTCGGCTGATATTTTTGTGGACCAAACTTATTTTAAAATTTTTCTTTAATGTAGCAGCACATATAATTGTTCCCATTTCCCCAGGGAGAGCTTGTATATGTAAACTATGCTCGTACTGAAGACTTCTTCAAACTAGAAAGAAAGATGCGCATCAACTGCACTGGAAAGATCGTTATTGCAAGATATGGGAAGATATTCAGAGGAAATAAAGTAGGTTGTTTTTTTCCAGAATGAAGGGGAGAGGTTGGTGCCCACAAATGTAAATGGTCAATTCAATTTACTCTCTCAAATTGCTTATAATTTCTTTTACCTGTTCTCCTTGGGTACACAAAAGACTTAATTTTTATATGACCTTATATATGTATATATGTAGAAAGGATATTATTTTATTATAAAAGTAAAATTGCTTTGTAAAATCAATGGGAGGAAATGTATATAAAATAAAAGGAAAAATTTCCTCTGCCTTACCTGACTTAATTTCCCAGGCATAATGAATCTTAGTCATCCCTTCCAGACTTCATTCTTTTTTTAAAAAAATATTTTATTTATTATTTTTATTTTATGTGTATGAGTGTATTGCCTGCATGTATGTGAGTGCACCCATGTCATGCAATGCTGCAGAGGTCAGAAGAGGGCTTCAGATTCCCCTGGAACTGGAGTTAAGGACGGTTCATAGCTGCCATGTGGGTGCTGGGAATTGAACCCGGGTCCTCTGCAAGAGCAGTCAGTGCTCTTAACCACTGAGTCATCTCTCTAGCCCCCAGACTTAATTCTTTGAAATATGAATATATTTATATGTACACTTTCCATATCCACATATACTTCTTAACAAGGAGATCATCAAACACTGTGTTATACATAACTGTGTTTTCACTCAGCTACAGTTTCTGGATAGTCTTCCATGTCAGCATACTGAGAGTTGTGTAATGTAGTAGCAGTTAAGGGGCTAGGACCTTAGATCTATACACCTGGGTCAGGTCTAGTCTGAGCACTGATTCTCTACATCCTTCACTGTCACTCACCCTCTCTGTGTCAGTGTCCTCATGAATAAAGGAGGAATATTAATAGTTCTACTCTTGTAGGGTCTTTATCAGGAGTAACATCTTTATGTTGTAAAGTACTTAAGTGGAAGAATAATGCTTGTAATTTCTGTGTAACTACTTATTAAACACCTCAGTAATTTAAATGGAGGCATAATATTTTTCAGAACTGATAAACTGTTTAATCATTCCCCTGTTGATGGATGCTTTGTTTAGTTGGGTTTCAGTGTATTACCACTATGAATCATTTCATTGTGAATATTCTATATATACTTCAAATATTTGCATAAAAATTTGTAGTATAGATTCATTAAAATGGAGTGGATGGATCATCATGTATATTCTTTCAGAATTCTGATGGAAAATAATCATATTGCCTTTCCAGAAAGGTGATATATTGACAGAACTGAGTGGTTTCTTAATATTGGAGTACATCTGAGTGAGCCAAGATTGAAAGCTACCCATCTTTTGTTATAATATTTCTGGTAATGGAAAACTTTAGTTATCTCACAGCATAGATTTTTCTATTCTTAGCCAATTCGGATTGTTAGATGTTTGTAAAGTCACTTCTCATAACAGATTGTGACTGTTGTACCTAAAATTATAAATCTGTTTAATATATTTGTATAGTGCTTTCTCTGAGTTTAGTAGACAGATACTAGAAAGATACTAACAAGTACTAACCCTAATGATAACCTTAGTCTTAACCCCAACCCTCAGTTTAGTAGAGGAGACAGATACTAGATACTAATAGACACTAACCCTAACACTAACCCTCACCCTTAAACCTATAATCAGTGCTTGGACTAGACCTGACCCAAGTGTATAGAATCTTAAACCTAACTCTAACGCCAGCTCTGTTTAGTAAGGGAGATAGATGCTAGATACTAACAGATATTAATCCTAACCCTAACTATAACCATAGCCCTCAATTTAGTAGAGGAGCCAGACACTAGAAAAATGTTTTGTTGGACTATGAATTATTATAGACTATTATAATAGAAACACATAGAAAAAGTGCAAAGAATAAGGGAGACTGTAATTTTGCAGCTTTGGGAATGATAGGAACATTTTGTAAAAGAGATGATAATGTATTTAGGATTTGGTATGATAAATGAGCATTTTAATTTACCAAAGGAAAAATTAGTTAGAAAGCAAAGATAATTAAATATATAATGACATCATTAAAAGCAGAATCTGAATTCCCTTACATCATTAAACTAATTTTCATAGGAGTAAACCACTCATTTGCATTCCTGCATTATTTAACATATTGCTCTTGCAGGTTAAAAATGCCATGCTAGCTGGAGCCACGGGAATAATCTTGTACTCGGATCCAGCTGACTACTTTGCCCCTGAAGTACAGCCATATCCCAAAGGATGGAATCTTCCTGGAACTGTTGCCCAGAGAGGAAATGTGTTAAATCTGAATGGGGCAGGTGACCCACTCACTCCAGGCTATCCAGCTAAAGGTAACAGACAAGCCTGTTAGTTGATCAGTTTTGCAAAATACTCTTTGCTCTTCTAGATGCATAAAAACAAGGATCAATAGAATCACATTAAAATTAAAATTGTATGCCATTGGGTCTTTTTTGAGCTTGCCTGCTTGGGAATTAAAATCATTTCCCTTGTACTATTTTGATTTTAAACTTCTACAGCTACGAACATGTGAAGGGCTCATTCAACTGTCTACCCTGCCTTTAACAGAGTAGACACTCAAAACACTAATATTCATACTCTAATGAATTCTCTTTAGTCAAATTTCCATTTTTAACAAATCAATGAAGATTTTTGTTTGCTTGTTTGCTTGGTTGGTTGTTTTTTGTTGTTTTTGTTTTTGAATACAAACCATTTTATTTTTTGAGACAGGGTCTTCCTGTAGCTTCAGCTGGCCTGGAGCTTGAGCAGGTTCTCCTTGATCTCACAGAGATCTGCCTGCCTCTGCCTGGGATTAAACGTATATGCCACCATGCCTGGCTTGAGTTTTTAAATAGTTATTTTAAATGTAAATTTTTGACATATACTGAAACTGTCTCCACAATCAAGACAATGTCATAACCATTAATTACCTCCTCCAACATTTCCTCTCACTTCCTTGGAATACCTTTCTCCCAATTCTTCTTCCTCAGTACCAATGTCTAGGCAACCGAAAAGTGACTAATACAGTAATTGGTACCAGGAGTGGAGTGTTGGCTGTTAAGAACCTGACCATGTTGGATTTTGGAAGAATATGGAAGATTTTGAAAGTTTGGGTTGGAAAAGCAGTTGATTGCTGTAAGCAGAGTTTAACAGGGTTTTCTAGTAGGCACCTGGAAGAAAGTAGTTCCTGAGAACAGTGTAGTTCCAGAGGGAAATAAGTACTTAAGCAGCAATTGGGATATTTTGGCAAAGAGTCTTGCTGGAGTCTGCCCACTTGCCCCAAAAGCTTGCCTGAAGCTAAGTTGAAAAGCAATAGACTAATTTCTTTGGTGGAAGAAATTTCAAGACAGCCTAACATAGAAATGGTGACATGGCTATTAATCGTGAATATTATGTAGATGTACAGTGAAAAAGAGCAAATGGAGTAGAAAGAAATATAGACTATACAGTTTAGATTGAAAAAGAGGACTAGGAAGATAAATGTTGGAGCTGGGAGCATGTGTAGGAGAGGATCCCTTTGAGAAGGAGATTAAGTGATTAAGGAGAGGCCTAGAGATTTGCACTTAAACAATGGAGAGAGTGCCTCCAGGGCAAAACCACACCCAGCTAAGCCTCCAACTTTTGAAAGGAAAATGCAGGGAACATTGAAGAAAAAAACTTCTAAAATGGATAAAGCAGGCTGGGGTCCATCCCAAACTTTCAGTAAAACTTGACATTGTCATTCACCTGGTGCTGATTTAGAGGCATGAAAGATGGAAGAGTGAAGGGGTCATCAGTTCTTCTGTGATTTCAGAGCACCACAGAGGCCAGGAAACATGCAGCAGGGGTTACCCTGCATAAAGAAGGCCCTGATAGGCCATTGTGTGAAGCTGTGAAGGTGAAATCTGGTTGGCAATGGAGACACCAAGAGGACATTGATGATGTCAGAGATGTGAGGCATCTGCCAAGAAGACCTACATACAGGGAGTGGGACTGGCCTAAGAGAGAGATATATGTTGCACACAGCAAATCTGGAGAGGCTGAGCCATCTAAGCCCTTTGGAAGTAAAGTCCCAGGAGTTGGATGTGGAGTGAATGGATTTGGTGTTTGCCCTGCTTGTTTTGGTCCTGTATTTCCTCACAATGCCTCTATTCCTCCCTTTTGGAATGGTAGTGTGTATTGGGTTCCACTGCATGTTGGGAGTATGTAATTTGTCTTTTGACTTTACAGGGGCTTACAGTTAAGTGATTTCCCTGAGTCTCAGAAGAGACTTTAGACTGTGGACTTTTGAATAGTATTGAGACTGGTGAAGACTATGGAGACTTTTAAGGTTGGACTAAATGCACTTTTTGTTTTATATGGTCATGAGCCTATGGGGGCCAGGGAGTGGCATGCAGTGGTTTGAATGAGAATGTCCTCCATAGGCTCCAAATATTTGGACATTTTGTTCCCTGTTGGTGCTGCTGTTTTGGGAGGTCTTAGAAAGTGTGGCTATGCTGGAGGAAGCATGTCATTGGGGATGGGCTCAAGACTTTTTAAACCTTGCCAGATCTCGAGCCACTCTTGTTTCTTGTGCTTGCTTGAAGATATGTGAGGTTAGCTTCTGCTCCAACTTGTCACTTCTGCCACCATGGTTCCTGCCATGATGGACTCTTGCCCTTTGGAACTGTAAGCTTAAATAAACTCTTCCTTCTATAAGTTGCTTTGGTCAGTGTTTATATCACAGGAACAGAAAAGTGATTAATACAGACTCTATTTCCATATGGTCTTGCACCTCTTCCCCTGGCTCTTACAACCTTTCTGCCCCCTCTTCCACAATGGTCCCTGAATTCTGAGTGGGTGACTTTTAAAATAGAAGTCCTGTCCAAGGACCCACACTCTGTAGACTCTTATTCTCTATGTTTTGGACATTTGTGGCCTTTTGTGTTCTTCCCCTCTGTTGCATGAGGGAGCTTCATTGATGAGAATTGAGAGATGCCTTAGTATTTTCTCTACCCCTTATTCCACTATGTTATGTGATCCTTAGATGTAGAAGTTCCATTGTAATGTGTCACTTAGAGTTGGGCATTTCACAGGCACGTAGTCTCTGTGTTTGACCAGTTGTGGAACTCTGAATAGTCTCTGTCTATTACAAAAGTAGCTGCTTTGATAAGTGGTGACTGGCATACTTGTCTGTAAACATAGAGATCCATATTAAACACATAGTAAGAAATTACATTTGTCTAGGAATGTGACAGCTTTGGTGTTTTCTGTAAGATCCATGACCTCTCTATGTCTATTTGGCTGTGTTTACAGTACCACACATGAGTTTCCTTCCATTGAATGGGCTTTAAGTCCAATTAGGTAGCCGTTGATTACCCCCAAGATAAAAGTGCTACTACTATTGCTGTTCAGTCACTGTTGTGGATATTATGCCCTAAGGTTGGATCACTAATTGACATTCTCTTTTAGCAGTTTGCATAGTACTCTCCAAAACTATGAGAGCTAACATTCAGGAAGGTGACTTCCAGGTCAGTTCCAGCTCCATTGCTCCAAATCCTGTGTCTGAGCCATGTCCTGTCTTCAGCAATAGGGTCTTACCTTCAAGTTCTTGGAGGCAATTGAGGGCTGTGGCAATAGCCTGTGTAATTTTGGGAGTCTTTTGGACTAACCTGGCCAACAACTCAAAGGAAGGTTTATCCTCTCTGACACTGTTTCTTGTTATATAGCCTTCAGCTGTACACATGGATTCATGTAGAGATATACTGTGTATCATTTTCCAGTAGATTTTTGAATACATTTCCCTCTGACTTTACCCAACAGCTAAGCATCATTTATGTCTCCTCTTTTCCTGTCTAACCCTCCATCTTCCCTCCCCAGTTAAAGTGCCTCCATTTCCCCATTTCACCCTTGTTAATGCCTGTCTCCTATGGTTCCTCCTCTCTTGAGTGTTTTCTTCACCTTTACCCCCATAGTTCCTTGTATAACCCTCCCTCTCCCCTTCCCATTTAAATATCTCCATTGTGTACATTCCCTCCTTGGTAACACCTGTCCCCTATTCTCTCTCAGGCTCCTTCTTTGCCTTTACCGTCCATTTCCCCATTTCACCCTTGTTAATGCCTGTCTCCTATGGTTCCTCCTCTCTTGAGTGTTTTCTTCACCTTTACCCCCATAGTTCCTTGTATAACCCTCCCTCTCCCCTTCCCATTTAAATATCTCCATTGTGTACATTCCCTCCTTGGTAACACCTGTCCCCTATTCTCTCTCAGGCTCCTTCTTTGCCTTTACCGCCATGCTTCCTTGCCATATTCCTGGCTCCTGCAATTATATAAATATTCACTTATCAGGGTTTGGTTCTAGGGTCCACATATGAGGGAGAACATATGTCGATTTTTTTTCTGAGTCTGTATTACTTCACTTAGTATAACAGTTTCTAGTTCCATCCATTTATCTGGAAATTTCATGATTTTGTCTTTCTTTACCACTGAGTAGAACTCCATTCTGTAAATGTACATTTTCATTATCCATTTGTCCATTGAGGGACACTTAGGTTGCTTCCATCTCTTAGCTATTATGAAAAGAACAGCAACAAACATGGATGTACAAGTATCTTTGCAGTAGGATGAGTCCTTTGAATATATGCCAAGGAGTGGTATAACTGGATCATATGGTAGGTTCATTTTTAGTTTTTTAAGAGTTCTCCACAGTGCTTTCCATAGTGGTTGCATGAGTTTGCAATCCCACTGGAAGTCAATCAGTGTTCCCCTTTCCCCATATCCATTTGTTCTCTTGAGCTTAGCCAGCCTGACTGGGGTAAGATGAAATGATTCTAAATTGCATTTCCCTAATTAGTAAGGATGTTGAAGACTTTTCAAGGTGTTTCTTAGCCATCTTTATTTCTTCTTTTGAGAACTCTTTGTTCAGATCCGTAGCCTATCTTTTAGTTGGGTCATTTGTTTTCTTGATTTTTTTTTTTTTGAGTTCTTTACATATTCTGGATGTTAAACCTCTGTCAGATGTGTGACTGGTGAAGATTTTCTCTGTGGGTTTTCTCTTCACTTCCTTGGTTGTTTGGTTGTTTTGCTGTAAAATGTGTACAGACACATTTTAGTTTAATGAGGTCCCAATTGTTGATTGTTGACCTTAGTTCCTGAGCAACTGATGTCTAATTTAGAAAATCCTTTCCTACACCTATATCTTGTAAGGTACCACTGCCTATATTCTAACAGTTTCAGAGTTTTGGCTTCACATTGAAGTATTTGATAGTTGAGTTTTGTGCAAGGTGAAAGATAAGGGTCTAGTTTCATTTTTCTACAGGTGGAGATCCATTTGCCAGCAACAGTTGATGAAGATGCTGTCTTTCCTCCATGTGTTT